GGGGGGGGGGGGGGGATTGTGCTGGTATCTAAAATACTTCTTAGGTACAGTGAAGCCAAGAAATAAAACACTAACTTGGTTTTGTTCTCCACATTTTTCTGTAGACACTGGATCCTGTAAGCAGTGAGACAAGTGTAATTTTATCCATTTATGTCTGAGACTGTTCACATAAGCAAAGTTAAACATACGCTTAAAGTGTGCATAAGATGACAGCCTGTCTTTTAAGTTAAGCAGCATGGAGCCATGTAACATAACTTCTTAGACTTGCTAAACAAGAATTATGCCAGCGCTGACTAAAAGTTGTTTCCTAATATCATGTTATTTGTAAGATATTATCTGTGCTATTCAAAAATCAAGTCTGTGTTAAGTGTTGTGAAGCTGTGTAATTGTTCTTTGCCACACATTGGCTTTGAACTACACCACTATGAATTTGTAGTGGAGAGAAACCCTGTTGTATTGCCCACGTAGGATCAGGCAATAAATAAGCTGAAAACACAGGCAAAAGTTGCTTTTGCACATGAATGGACACAGAAGTTTTGATCACTTGATTCTTAGTTGACTCTTGCTAGTGTGTACCCAGAGCTATTCTGAGGGAAAACTTGAAGCACTGGGTCTTAGGAATCTGTTAAATGGGGAAAATTATGTGTTCCTCGAGTTTTCTCACTCAAGATGCTTGACTGGATGCAAGCTTTGCCAAAAATAACCTCTTGCTAAGCCCAGGTATGATAGGTCTTCAGAAAGTTATGACTGAGTTAAAATAGGATTGCAACGAAAGGTAAATGTGACTTGAGTCACAATGTGAGAGTTGAGTGAAATAAAAGGAAAAGAAATGTGCTGTTCTGTGATGCCTGAAGGGGTTCTTCAAAACCTGTACCCTTCAAAAGCAGGGGGTTTTTTTGTTTTACCAGCACATTGATTACATTAGTAATTCACATGCTTTCTGCTGTTTTTTTCTTTTCCAGAAAGACTCTTTGAATGACAGAAGATTAAATTGTTGTGGTATTATTGATCTCGGGGCCATGATATCTGAGCTTCTGTTTTGTTTGAGGTTTTTTCACCAAAGTATGAGGGAGGTGTTTCATATTGCCACTACCTTTTCACGTTTATAGCAGTTGAAAGAAAGGGTATCTTGCATTCAGAGATTTAACTCTCTGTCTCTCTGATTAACACAATTGTTTCTAACCCATTTCTGTGGATCCTTGGAGGAAACTCTAGGAAAAACAGAAAAGTAAAATAGGCTGTTTTTGGTATGTGTAAAGAGGGGGAAACTAACAGAACTTTTAAAAAAATTTGCTCGAGGTACAAAAAAGGTAGAAATCCATTCTTTCTTCACTCTGGCCCAATAACCATTAGGTTACAACGTTGATTATAGTATTTTTCTATCAAAAAGGCTATAATGTAAATGTTTGGCTGCAGTTAACTCTTTGTTGCTGAAGTCTTGTAAGAGCCTCCCAAAACTTGGAGAACTCTTGAATCTAGGCAGAAATAGTTCATTTTAATAGGTTTAGATCCTACATATATCTCTGACTTGAGACCTGCGGCCAGGAATTAGTGCCCTGCTGTTTACACTATAGATGTGTGCATAAGGCAGTATGTCCTAGATGGCATGCTTCCAAGGACACTCATTCAGGCTTATGTGCTCCAATCTTAAAAATGAGGCAGTGAGGCTATTATAGGGGTATTTCACTGCAGTTGTTCTCAACATTTCAGTCTTTGATGTATTTGTGACTGGTTACCGTGGGCACTTATGGTTCAGACTTGCTGGTGTATTTGGATTTGGAGCCTATGAGGGTGATGGTGAGTGGATTACGTTCAGGAATGTCTTGCTGGGACACGCTGTCCGAGTGTAGAGAGACTCTGGCTGCGTCCATACGAGTGCGGCTGTCTGTTTGTGTGCGCCGCTGCTTGTCCCTGGGGAACGCCTGTGCTATGCCTGCTCTGGTGCATGGCAGGTTACCCCAGGTGGGGTAGGGGAAGCTGGGGCCAGCAACCATGCTGGCCCCAGCAGCCTTACTTGGGGGGCTCAGAGTTGCAGCTGCGGTGCTTCTGCAGTTGGGAGCTGGCTGGCTAGGCTCCGGTTTTGGGTGGTGTGCACTGCCACCATGTGTGGTATGCGCTGCCACCCCACTTTTTTTTGGGTATGGGTTTTTTTGACCTCAGGATGTCCTGGGGTCAACCCCCGCACTGCAAGGTAGCAGCGTAGGGCACTCCTACATGTGCAGATGGGTCTGTGGTGCCACATACTGCATGTCAACACAGATGCAGCCTCTGAGGGCATTTGCTGAGCTTATATCATCCTGGGGGTGTTTTTTACTTCAGCATGTTGATTTACACTGGAAGTCCTTTTGAGTGATTTTAGTTTAGCCTAAATGTTCAGTGTGAATTCTGTATCTTAGTATTTTCCTACAATACCATAGATGGGGTACATTTTATAAACACCTTTTAAGTTT